GTAAAATGGAAAAAATGAATAAAAAAAATGAATAAAAAAAATGAATAAAAAAAATGAATAAAAAAAGTGAATAAAAAAAATGAATAAAAAAAATGAATAAAAAATATAATATTAACAAAACGAATGGGTGTAACATCTGTAGCGAGTGTAACATTTGCACTTTGAGCTTAGGTCACACATGGTATGTATGCTGTCGTTCTCAAATGAGTGTGTCTATGCGCATCACCCTTTAACTAATTTTGTGGACTATATTCACAAATCTACTTACGTGCACCAAACGTTGGAATAGTCTCTACACACTTCGGTCAGGAGAGCCTACATATTGTGCAAGTGCGAAGAATTCATAGATAAAAAAAAAATATAAAAATATACATGTACATATATATATATGTTTGCGAATCTATGAATGCTCTTTGTTAAGTGAAAAGTCCCCATTGAACTTCTTCCACATTTCACAGCTTTGCAAAATTTCTTACTTTCTCAAAATCGTATGACAAAAGTGTTACTGAAGTCATTATATCTCCAACTATGATATAATTTTCTCTGAAAATATTGGGGTTGGGGTTGGGGGAAATGGGTAAACAGAGAGGATTAATAAAAAAGAAAAGGGAGAGAACAAACCAGGTTCGTGGAAAAAAATAGTAATCCGCACAGATGTTATAATCCATTTAGATTCCTTACAAAACGTCCAGACTCATGATCCAGGAACTTGGTGTAAAGGAGGCCACTTCCACCACATCATCTTTATTTTCTGTTTTCTTCAAAGGGGAAAAGAAGCATACATGTGTAAGTAAATACATGCATAAGCACATACATGCATAAGCACATATGCACATAGCGAATGGAAAATTCTCCTGCGTAAATTTCTTACCATAGTTTTTCCCGAATTGTTGATATATTTCTCCATGTTGGTTAGGAAGTTGCTAATGTCGAAAATGACGACCTGGTGGAGGTGATGGTGGTGGTCATATGGAGGGAGAATAAAAAATTAAAAAAAAAAATTTTGACTAGAAATAGAAACAGTTACCAAGCAAATGCAAAACCATCTGCATTCTCCCGTGAGGCGATGGAGAGACGCAGACTGTCGGAAATAGGGATACATATATATATATATATATATATATATATACAACATGCATGCAGGTGTCTTGCAAATTACCGTGTTATTCACTGCAGCGATAAGTTTTTCATGAAACTGCTTCAGGTGTGTGATTCCACCACAATTAACATTGTACGTGTATATGTGCTTGATTTCAAAAAGGTTTATCATCTTTTTTGCTATGAAAATGTAAATGTGCCCAGAAGATGGTTCTGTAATTCTCTCATTGTTATTGGCCGTTCCTACGCAAATGAAAGTATTCACTTGGGTGGTCTCGTTCGTCTTATAGACCTTATTTGTGTTTGATTTTTTTTGGATTTCATAAATGCATATACTAGAAACACTAAACTTGGAAGGGATTACGTATGTGTATTTGAATGAATTTTGGAATGGGTCGAAAAAGCATAGAATTTGTTTCATCATTTGATTGGTTTTGTGTTTCTCTTCAACGGGACAAGCAGCAACTAAAAGCCCTGTATCTTCATGATAAGCTATTTTTTCAACCGTTCTATGAAAAGGTATTTTTTGCAAAAAGTTTTTCTTAATCTCGTTGAGGTGTGATATAAATATTTTGAAACCATCAAAACATATGAAGTAGAAATTATTTTGATTTATTTTTTTAAATGCTGAAAAATTGTGAAATGGGTTGAGATAATTAAAATCGTTGAAAATGTCCACTTGGTATATATTCTTAATCGATAATTTGGATAAGCATATTTTTTTTTTTAAATTTGAATATATAATAATTGGATTATCACAACATACGAAGAGGAAATTATATTTCTTCACAACATTTGTTAGGTTTACATCAATTTTATTTTTTTCTGAAAAAACTTTCAAGAACTTTTTAAATTTAATTGGACCTTTTGTACACACATTTATTCTTCTCTTATTCGTTAGCAATATTTTTTTACTTCGAATTACATACCTTTTTATATATTTCTTTTCATCAAATAAAATATTGTTTAAATTATTAAAACATATAGATGCATCAGACGAAAATTCTTCATTTTCATCAAAGTTGCTGTATTTTCCTGAACCCACGTAATTTTCACGCACATAAATGTTCCCACACTGTTCTTCCACTTTCTTTTGAAATATATCGTTTAGGTGTTCTTTTTCTCTCCTTAAGTCGATCCTGCTTGGGTTGCTTCTGCTTGGGTCGCTCCTGCTTGGGTTGCTTCTGCTTGGGTCGCTCCTGCTTAATTGGTTTTTCCATTTTTCCACTCTACCCAAAGGAGAATCTTCTCTAACACACATGCCATCTACATCTACCTCTTTAATCTCAGGCAGATCGTGTTCAATAATTTTACCATCTTCGTCATATATACTGTTATAACTTCTCTTTGATTTTTTTTTTGTCATCTCGTCATGTGATTCTTGACTATCTCGTTCGTGTTTTAAGCGGATGTAGCTTTTCTTTTGTTTCATATTTAGTTCCTTTATCTTATCCTTTTCACTATTTTCTTCTTTTTTCACTATACGCTGGATACAAGTTGCTTCAGCTTGGTTTCCTCTTTCTTTTTTTTCGATGGTTCCTTTTCTCATTTTGTCTATTCCATTGTACATCTTATCTATCTCGCCCTTCTCCTCCTCTCCATGAATTGATTTTCCTCCATTATCAGGAAAGGGGTCCGATATGTGGATTTCGCTAGTTGTTTCTTCGTTCAGATTGCTTAACCTCCTTGAGGGATACGGGTTCAAGCTGTTGTCACAAATATTTGAACTTGGTAATATATTTTTGGAGGGAAATTGGGTATCTGATCCTTGTTCCACACTACGTCTGAGTCCACCATTCCTGCTGCCTCCACTGGCATTGCTACTGCTGCTGTCGCTACTGCTTCTCCCACTCTTTCCATTTCTTCCTCTTCTTTCTTCTTTTCCTCCTTCTTTTCTTCCTTCTCTTCCTCCCTCTCTTCCTCTTTTTCTTCCTCTTTTTAGTTTCCTCTCCCTATGGCTACTACTGCTGCTTCTGGTTGGGCTTCCTGCTCTTCGCTTCTCCTCCACTTTTGCATCTAACTTCTTAAACACGTCAAAGTTAACAATGTCACTATCTGATGATTCCTCAGATGAAGATCCATAAATCTGGAAAAAATGGAAAAAGTACTTGGTCTTCTTCCTATTCAAATTAATCTCTTTGCCAAATTTTCCATCACGTGCGTGTAGGTGCGAATTTATGTTGGCCCTTCTGAATGGTACGTTTGCAATTTTATCTTTCTCGTAATCGTTCTCGTAATCTTGCGCACTAAAACTCGCCACCTCGTGCAATTCGTCCAATGAATTTTCCACGTCGACATTAGTGTCCCCAATTTCATCACTGAAATGCGATAATTTTTCACAATTTTTCCACCTGCCATGGGAGGAAGAAAGTCGAACGTTTTTATCCCAATCGTCTCTATCCTTATAAGCTGACAAATTGGTTGCACATTCATGTGGCATTTGCATATTATTGTATATGGTGTGAGTATTAGTTTGTTTTATGGTTCTACATGAAGATTCTTCTAATGGCTTTCCATGAATTTCACTATTACAATCTTTGAGATATTTAGTATGTTCTCCTTGAAGGATATTCTCCATACTTACAAATGTATCGGATTGAATATTTACATTATTAAATAAATTAGAACTCATAACAATTTCTTCATCTTCATTCTTCATACATGCTTTATGCAAGTCATGAACATTTGTAAAGACACATTTGGAAAAGTTGAAATATTGAAGTATATTTGAATGACTTTCAGATAAATATTTTATTAATCCTCTTTTACATTTTTTTACATATTTTTCTTTTTCCATATCATCAGTAATTTTTATTTTGTAACTGAATGCAGGTTTTTTCCCTGTTTTAAGTATATCATCTTTATACAAAAGTTTTAATATTTCTTCTTTTTTTTTTAAATAAAACTTGTGTAATTTAAATATATTATCATTATCAGCATGTCCTCTTATTCTATGTGTGTTCTCGATTCCTCCATTTTTCCTTCCATCCATGCGTGCTACCTGATTTTTTCCATTTTCATTTTGGAACAATTTCCACATCTGTGTGCTTTCCGCATCTGAATTTCTTTCCTCAGATGTTCCACTTTCACTATGAGAGGCACCACGATCGAGATTCTTCCCCTTGGAATATGAACCTGCACTGAAACTTGTCAAGAACGTGTCATCACGTACCCTCCTCTGGGTGCCACTATCATTTCGATTATCTGCACATAATAAAAAAGATTCCACTTCTCCGTTACTAAGCCCGATAAATAAATACACATTGTCGTTCAGTTCTAGAACTTCGACATCTGTTATAAAAACGAGTGTGCTTAGAGCCGGTTGGTAGGAGCTTGCTTGCGTGAAAATTCTTTGCTTCTTTGTATTAACAAATGGGTTCTCATCTGTGCCTCTGATGGATTCTAGGTCTCTAATCCTGTCTTCGCTTCTAACCATGTCTACTTGAATGGCGTCATTGGGAATTTTGTCTCCCCTTGAACAACTCTTAGACACTCTCATACGGTCTAAGCAGCTGACATCTATGTTAATAAGTGCTACTTCCCTATTGTTGAAAGCACAAGCCATCAAACTTTTGTAGACTACCATGGAGGTGATAGTCCTATCGCACTTGTGGTTGTATAACAACTGAAGATACTTCTCCTCTACTGCATATATTTGGATTCCGTTATCACAGTATATGTATAAATAATCGTTATAAACACAGAACTTAAATATATAATCCATCTTTAAGTCATACACAAGTTTTAGTGATAAACAACAGAGAAGTTTAACATGATTATTTGTTACTTGAATAAGGTATGGGAAATTCTTCAAGACATTGAAATATATCGTGTTGCTTAACAAATCTACATCTGTATTTTTATATTCACAAAGAAAAATTTCGTTCTGCTTCTTCCTTTGACCACGATCATCAATGTTAAAAGGATGGTCATTTGTAAAGTTTTCGCATGATGTTACTTTTGGGCTGACAGTGTCACAATGGTGATGTTTCTTTTTTTCGTTGCATCTGCTACCCACGTTGCCCATGGAATCTGTTGAATATTCCTTTTGTAAATTTCGCTTGTCACGTTTTTCTCTGCTTTCACCAGCACCCTCCTCTCTGCACACTCCTATCACTTTGGTTTGGTAACCATAAGTTACACAAATGATGAAAATGTGAAAGTATATAAAATTAGCATAGTTCAAAACGTCAATTTCTTTCTCGTTTTGGAAGTAGTATTTATTCAGAAAGGAAAGGTTTATATCCTTAATTTCTACATTTTTTTTATCATTGAGCTGAGCAAAAACCTGAAACTGTAATGACTTCTTTCCTTTTTCTTCTACAAGAGGATTCGAAATATTGTTCTGTAATAATGATTGTTCATGATTATTATTTATTTCACTTTTCTGCATTACATCATTGTTAGATAATTTTTCATCTATTGTGGATTTTCCTTTCTGTTTATTTTTCTTCTTCAGGTGTATAACATACTTGACAACGAACATATTCGTGATTTTGCTGAAGTTCAATTTAGAAATAATATTTGTTTTTAATCCATTTCTTATGATAGATATACATCCAGTTCGACCATAACTATTGCAAGTTATAATTTCCTTCTCGTCATTCTTATTCTTAATAACACAGAAATCTAAAATGGGACCCATATTTTGTATTACAGATAAAATTTCAATGTAAAATTTTTTTTTTTTTTCTTTCAAAGAATTTCTAAGATGAAAATTATGTACTTTATCTTCTCCTCTTTCTGCTGTGTACGTTTGCGAGTCTCTATATGTATCAATGTGTGTACATGCGAATGGATTATTTTTGATTGAAGTGGCATGCGATTCTATCACTACCCTCTTCTTCTCCTCAACATTACCATCATTAAAAGATTTTCCACTTATGCATTCACTTTGATATTGGTACATATTTTCATCACACAAATGACTAATTTGACGACTTGAATTTGTAATTTGGGCATCACTGTGTTTATTATTGTACTGACCATCTTTATAGTTACTTCTACTCGTTGAAGCATGATGCTGCATATCAATCGAATTGGTACCCCTATCATTGTGATATGTGAATTCGTTAGTTCTAGTAATCTCTTCTGCATAAGGATAATTTTCTTGCAAAAAGTTTCTCTTTTTCGTTATGCTACTTCGATTCTCAACATAATCAATTCCATTATTTATGATATACTCGTCAGCACCTCTCTTCGTGTCACTATGAAATTGTTTTAACATACAGTTGTTGTTATTTTCATCATTTGAATTTTCATCTCCAGTTATGCTATTACCACGGTTATCACGATGGTAAAAATAAGAACTGTTAAACGTTGAACATGTAGATGGTTCGACAGGAGTGTAATCGTCATATTCATATGTTGGGTAATTATGCATTTTGAGTAAATAACTATCACTTACTTGTGAACCTAAGAAAATAATATCTGGAAAAATGGACACGACAACATTGGACCTTGAGCAGGTTCCTATAAATTGTAATGTGATTGAGTTGATGCCATTGTTGTCGTTTTCTATTTTTCTACTAATTTCGCTACTCAGGGATTGACCTCCACCAATAGATGATGAGGAGGAAGATGGAACTACACCAAGAGACGAAGGCAAACCTTTGAAAATGAATTCATCAATAATGTTATCATTGATACATTCACTTCTCCTTCTGAAGGAAGAAGGATTTGACCCCAATATACATGTCAGTATAAAGAGATCACCATAATCATCTGCCATGATGAATTTGTTACGGCTGATGTGTTCTATACATCTAATAGTTCTCAATTCAGAGCTGAGGAAGAAATTTTTGTCTTGGTCTATTTCTAAATTAATGTAACTGATAAATTGAAATCCTATAAGCATCAACTTATTTTTAGCAATGCAAAGTAATTTGTTTATGCTTGAATCTACAATTATTGGTTTATAATACATTAAGTTGATATATTTCATTCCTTCCTTTTTTTCATTTTTCACGTTTCTAAAATTGGCATCATCATCATCATCATTGTTGTTGTGATGGTACGCTTGAACATTATTCTTGGCATTCCCATCATCACAGAATTCATTATTTCTACGTGGGTTCAAGGGTGTGCTAACATCACTGAGAGCACTTATACGTTTATCATCACTCATGGAATATAAACGAATGAGTCTAATGTACCGTTCGTACGAACGAGAATCTTTTTTCTTTGCATCATACAAAACACAAATCGTTGCACTAATTTTGCTTTTATTTTTTTTTTTCTTCCCTTTTTGTGGATTTTCATGTGATGAATTTTTTTTTCCTGTCTTGTTACTATTGCTGAGATTTTTATCTAAACAGATGTTGGAGCTTTCTCCTTTTGTAATACTATTCCAAGCTGTCTTATTATCAGCACACTTTGGGATGTTTTCTATCAGATTCGTTATTTTTAATTTTTCTTCCTCCATTTTTTTCTCCATTCTAGTTGTGGATTCAAACATCTCTTTCTCCATCCTCACATTTGATGTTCCATTTGTTTCACTCCTCTGATAAGGAGAGTTTATAAAAGAACCATAATTATGCATTGTGGTATTATCTGCGTAATGCTTCTTTACACGTTCGATAGTAGTGTATTGAACATGGGGTCCACTTTTATTATTACATTTACTACTTTCCTGATTAGTACCATTTTTTTCTTCTTTCATATCAGGATTGGGTAAATCCATGTCAAGATAATCAATTTTGCTATCCTTACTGTTTCGATGTACAACATCGTTTGCATTCAATTTAGTCACAGCTTTATCAAACGAGTCGATGCTTTGTCTCTTAACAGATTGTAATGGAGGCACTGTTTTATTATTTTCATCATCATCTTTCCATGGATTGTTATTATTACCTCCATGGGCATTCCCATTAGTGCTGATACGAGTGCTACATTCACTAGTGTCGAAGACGGTTTCAGTCTTACGGTGTTGGAATTTCAAAAAAATGATATCTATTATTAGACCTTCATCTAGTCTCAAGGTATATATATGGCTTAGATTAAAGAAGTCATTATAATCTAAGTGTACATATTTTAAGATATTTTTATACCCATAGAATAAAATGGTTCTATTTCTATCATCCAAAAGTAGAGTTATATCTTCTTCGACATGTAATCCATTGAGTTCTTGTAAATTTACTTGGGAGATAGTAACAAAGTCGTTTAGTTTCACATCGAACTGAAGTAACAACAAATTATACTTTCTTGTTAATAAAAAAATATACGATTTGATATTTTCTCTTTTTCCTGTATCGACTAGCTTTTCAGGTATGTATTCTCTTAATTCTAAAATCTCCGAAAAAACAGCATGTTTACTATAATCACTTGTATGTCCATCTTTATCTACTGCACATACATTCAGATAATTGTTGCAGGCATACAGCAAATATTTTTTCTTGTTACCCTTTAGGTTTGTGCAAATGGCAGTTCTGATAGATTTACTGGGTATTACGTTATTGTAGTAATGGTACACGCTCATTTTTTTTTTTTTTCAATTTTTTAGTATTTCTTTTTATATGTACATAATATTTTTCCCCCTTTTTTTTTAAATCAATGAATTTACCATTCCCTTTCCTTTGTAGAGAGAATGTATATATATGATTTGTATTTTTTCCTTTCACAATTGAAAATACGGTTAATTCCTATTTTTCGTATGAACAGGCATATAAGTGTAAATGTGTACACTATAATACCGTGTTACAATTCTGTTAGAACTTTGCTTGATGCCCTTATTCCATTGCTTTAAATTTTAACTCTGATATTTTCCTTCATGTAAAATTTTAAGGGAATGGTATCTCTGGTTTTTAAATGAATTTCCTAGTGTGTTGCATAGCCGAATTCGTGCGTCCACATATAGTGTTAGGTGTGCATGTATTATTATGTGTGTGAGCACGTACACAGTCAAACAATGAAAGTGAATATAACAAAAAAGGGAAGAAAGAAAAGAGTGAACGAAGGGGCGAACGAAGGGGCGAACGAGCGAATGAGTGGGTCATAGGATTACAACTGCATGCTTTCATGTATGTCTGTTACACGTAAAAATCAAGTAGATTCATTTTGTTGTAGTGATGAATAAAAGTGAAATGAAAAGCACAAGAATGGAGAAAAAAGGCACAACAAAAAAAAAAAAAAAATAAATAAATAAAATAAAAATAAAAAACTGGAGTAGAAGCAGGACTTCTAGGAACAAGTTAAAAATGCATAAAAGGGAATGAAATGATGTCGGGAATATTACTTTGGTGAGAAAGTGAAAGAATGCAAATGTAATGACGTTTATATTTTGTATTTTTATTTATTTTGTCATTTTTTTTTTTCTTTTTGGCCTGGGGGTGAGCAAGTACACACAAGTATGCATGCTTTTTATTACACTGGTGTTTTTTCAAGATTAGTGATAAGAATATATTTTCACAAAAATTAGTGAACTGATTAAATATTAGAATGTATTTTTTTTTTTTTTTTTCTATTGGCATGTATCATCGTCACATGCAAAAAAAAAAAAAAAAAAAAAAAAAAATGAGGGCTCGTTCGATGTTATAAGGAAGCTTAGTCCTTTATTTTTTTTAAAAAAAAAAAAAAAGCAAAAAAGGGCAAGCGCAAATGCAAAGATTATGTAAAAAAAAAAAAAAAAAAAAACAAGTAAAATAAAAATAATAAAGTTTGCAGTTGATATAAATTTCATGTGTAAATTAACTTTATACGCCTTCAGGTGTTTTTGTTTAATCACAAATTAAGGAAAAAGGGGGAAAAAGGAGTAAGCCAAGTCTGTCGGTAAATGAAATATGCTAAAAATTGGACGTACAAGTAAGGAGTGCACAAGAAATAAAAAAAAAAAAAAATTAGGCAAAAGTATATTTCACAAAAAATAGGCAAAAGCAGTGTTCACAAAAAAGCAGGGACAAATAAATATCTCGGCTTGAATTAATTCAACATTCCCCCCCTTTTTTTTTTTTTTTTTAGGAATATTTTTTTTTTAATAAGTTCTTCTATACTACAATTTCATGATTTCCATTCTTAGATTGATTTAACAATCATGGGCTTTATTCAAGTGAAACACACTTCATCAATTTTACAGTTGATGAGCCATAAGCGGAATGGATAAAAAAATACATTAAGGGAAAAAAAAAGAAAAAAAAAAAAAGCATAGTCTCATTGCACAATTTGTCAATTGTAGAGATATACACTCACTTCCGTAGGTGAGCATTCCACATGTCTGAATTTTTAATGTTACACATTATTATCTATGTTGATTTACCATTGCAACGGAAATAAGAAAAAAACAAAAACAGAAAACATCCAATTAGCCACAACTATAATGGTCATAATGCCAATTATTCCCCAGCATACCCATATGTATTAACGTGCACATATATATATATATATATTTACAGTTACAAGCTACTATAACCACCCAATTCTTCCATTTTTGAGCAATGTCCACATTACAATTTTCTGTAAATTCAACATATAAAAAAGAAAGTTGCACCCAAGTGGTATGTTATTATTTTTTTTTTTTTTTTTACAAATTTGCATAATTTTTTGGGAAGTAGAAATGTATATATAGACCTGCGCATGAACATGCATATAATATGTATATGGTTTAGCATGCAACCGGCCTTTTTTCTCCCTGGGGAATGGACCCTTGAGGGTAGTGAAGATTCTTCCCATTTGTGCATTTGAAATGGGGGAATATAGTCATGATAGGGTACCGCTAAGATATACATATATATATATATATATGTATATTTAAAGGTATACAAATGGGAATGATATTTCAAGCATAACAAGAGAATTTATAGATGAATAAGACAACGTGAGTAGACCCTATACTGTACATTTCCTACTGAACAGTGTAATATTGCATTAGTTGGAAGTTAGAAATACGTTTTTTTTTTTTTTTTTTTTTTTTTTTTTGTTGCATAATTTTTACGTACGCATAAACATCCATGTTGTATATAGTATAAGCGTGTATAAGCACTTATTTGTTGCTTATTCATATTCAATTAGATTTGTATAATTTTACTTGTTTCTTATTTAGTTTTCTTTTAAAATATATATATATATATATATATATATTTATACAGGGAATGGATGGAATAAAAAAAAAAAAAAAAAAAAGGGGAAAGAAACTCTTTGCAACAATTTCATAAAACGTCTCACGTCATGCGCGCAGTAAATAGATGTGCAACTTTTATGCATTTTCCATACATTTGTAAAATGTTATCTATTACACTCTGCATCGTTAAAATAAAACAAATTGTTTCCTAGCACTTCCAAATATTTGATGCTTCTCTACATGCAACACGTTGAATCTCACGGTCTTGGACAACGGTCTGATAAATGTAAAAAAAAAAAAAAAATAAAATAAAAATAAAACAGTTCTGAACTGTTCAAAATAATAACATGTTTGGTAGGGTCACATTTAATATAATAGGATAATTACACACATGGTCTCCAAAAATAAAATAAAAAGAATACAAATTGCTTGATCAATATTAAAACAGCACGTGCTACATAAAGTAGTTTATTCATAACATAACGTGGCATACACAGGGAAATTGTGAAATACGTAAAAATATATGTGTTTACCTGCACTGGCCGACGGTAACTATGTCACCTTCTTTCACATCAAAACATGGAGAACAATGACATGGGATGTTCTTATGTCTCTTTTCAAATCTGTTGTATTTTTTTACATAATGTAGGTAGTTTCTTCTTATAATAATTGTTCTCTTCATTTTACTCGAAATTACCATACCCCTAATTGTTTACAAGAAAAAAAAAAAAAAAAAATACACATGTATATATTCATTCGCTATATGCGTTAATTGGATTTGAAAAAGAAAAGAAGTAACAAGTCTATGACTCCATGCTGCTGCATATTGTGTGATATGCTAAAAAACAGGGAGAAATTTATTTTCACATCTGCATCAAATGTTTGTAGCTTTTCAACTGATTTAAAATTAGCGTGTGTGTAACATTATTTTCCTCTTTTTTTTTTTTTTTTTTTTTTTTTCCTGTACTTTAATATCCTTCCTCTGATGGACACATTTCCTGTAAAGGGGCACTTTTTATCAACGTAAACTCCCTCTTTTGCTTCCTTCGGGGTTGCGAATCCTAAACCAACTTTTTTCCAATATCTCGTGTAACTCTTTGAGCCCTTCTTTATTTTTTTGGAGTTGAAAAAGCTCGCACCTTCCTGTTTTTGGTAAGCCCTCTCATGCTAAACGTGCGTAAATGAAAAAAAAAAAAAAAAAAATGATTATAGTATGATGTCAGACATTTTTTTCAATCCTGCATGAACAGTTCATGTAAATATGCAAGTTTTTTTTTTTTTTTTTTTCTTTTCCCCAAAGAAGTCAAGTATTTTATTTGCAAATGAAATGTCAACTTGGGTGTAGAGAAAAAAAATGTCATAACAAAAGAACGCCCCCCCCATTATGCATAAGAACAAGATTAAGGAATATTTATCATAATATTTACTCAATTTTAAAATGCCCACATATAATATGCTTTATATTAATGTATTCTGAAGAATGCATAAGTAAATGCAAATATAAATGTATTTATGTATGTAACGTATGTGCATACTCTACTTGACGCTTTCTTTTAAAGTTTTACCTGAACATCTAAGGTTGTTGCCATTTTTCTGAAAAACTCGAAACAATATTGTATGAACGGTTAATAAACTTTTTTATCAACTTGTTTTACTAAAATGATAAGTGTTATATATTACTTTGTGTGATTTTTGTTTTATCTTTTTTTTTTTTTTTTTTTTTTTTTTTTTTTTTTTTTTTTTTTTTTTTTTGTGGGAAAAATTTTTTTTTTTTTAATTTTTTTTTTTTTATTTTTTTTTAAAAAAAAAAAAAAAAAAAAAAAAAAATTTTAATAAATTTAAAAAATAATATTTATAAAAAAATATAAAAAAATATTTAATCTTTTTTTTTTTTTTTTTTTTTTTTTATAAATTTTTTTTTTTAAAAAAATTTTGTTTTTTTTTTTTTTTTTTTTTTTTTTTTTTTTTATGTGGGTATTTTTTTTTTTTTTTTTTTTTTTTTTTTTTTTTTTTTTTTTTTTTTTTTTTAGCATGGTAGTGGTGCTGGGGGGGAAGAAATGCTATTCTGTTATGTTAGGAATTACTAGTGTTGAATTAAAACATTCTAGTGTCAAAAAATTGATTGGATAAATGAAAAAAAAAAAAAAAAAAACAAGTGCGCTATTTCCTCAGTTCTCCACCATCTTATAAAAAATAAACTTAGGATTTTTTTTTTTTTTCCGTTCTGCTTGAGAACGCGTGAAAGGCCATACATCCTATTTCGCTCGCACTAAGTTGTATTAGTGATCGAATATTTATTTTCATTTTAGCATTAAATTTCTTTTTCTTTTTTTTTCATTTGTTAATATATTTTATTCCAACTTCTTACTACTTCTTGTTATGAAATACGGCCTTAACCCCTTAATCTCCCCTGATGCATATTCAAAGGTTTTCTTTTTTTTTCCTTTTTTTTTTTTTTTTATGTATACATTTTTGACAATTAGGGAGGAAAAACCTTAATGAGATATTTCATATGAACAAGGCACGAAATGTGTGCTCTATGAAAAATTCAAAGTGGGAATAGCCCTAAATGCATCGTGAAAAAATGTGGGGCAAGAAAGAGAGAGAGGCAAATCAGCTTGACTGAACCACAAGGTGCATAATTATTGCTACATAGCAAAACTTTGGAAAACATTTTGATTAAGTTAAAATAATCCCATGAATATTATTACTCATTTAACCGTTAGAGGAATATTTTTTATAAAATGGTGCAAATTCATAATATTGAAAACGCAACAGTTATATTATATTCCCCCTTTTTGCGTATAAATTTTTAAAAAAAGGGTTAAAATATGGGTGAATATGTTAAAAAGAAAAATTTACATAATTATTTCTGAAACCTCTAATATTTATGTGTTTACACATATTATGTTAAAGTAAACAAGATAAAAGTACAAAAAATATTCATTTAATAAAATGAAATTAATGTGTGTAAAAATCATAAAAGCTAAGGACATTATAATTCTCCCTTGTAATTTTAAAGTGGTAACCGTTTTTAATTCTTTTAATGCAAAAAGGTCTATCTGCACAATTCCCAAAAAAAAAAAAAAAAAAAAAAAATATCATTGACATGGTTAATAAAACTGAAAGAAAATAAATTCAATAACCTTACTTGTCCATCTGTTAAAATGGTCTTTTCATTTTTGAAACATATTTTCCCTCTCTCTCTGTTTATTCTATGAAGAAGACTTAAAAATAGACTGATTCTTCGTTAAGCACCACTTTCTGCAAATGTGCAATCAAGCCAAGCGCACATAAGTTCGCTTGTATGTTACCATCCAAAGTGCGTTCCACAACATCTGCTAAATTGTCTTTCGTGAACATTACAAATAGTTACATATTAAGATATTACATAAATTGAAAACATTTCTTCACGTTAAAAAAATTGTGTACTTTTAGAAAAATAAAATAATATCCAATGAAGTATGACACAAGGAAATTAAAAAAAAAAAAAAAAAAAAAAAATGCTTATGAGAACGCAAAAACATTTCACCTTTAACTGCCCATAGCTTTTACTGTACTTCACATAATGGAAAAACAAATGAACAGAGATAAGTGGAATGAATATATTGGACATACTAAATGGGGGAAAGTTTACGTTCTTGAATCAAAGCAAATTTTTCTTATGCAATAACTGTAAGGTGACTTGCGAAAAAAAGACGCATAGACCAGTGCACACACACACACATATATATATATATATATATACTTGCGTATATGTGCATTTTTACCGCAAGTATATGAACTGCCAAGTGTGTCTATTGCCCAGAATTACGCATGTGTGCATCGTTCTCCTTCATCTCTGTTTCTTTTTATTGTCATTAACAAATGGGAGACCTCAGTTTTTTTAAATATATCTATAGGGTGAAAAATATATACTCCAATGCTTCCATGAGGGGAATAAGGAGGTGCAAATCGTTGATTATTCTAAATATCTACTAATAGCACCTCAAACATATACCACACAAAAAATATGTAAATACAAATGTACTACTACATAAAATTGACGATTTAAAAATAGACAAGACTATGATTTGGGAGAAAAAAAAAAAAAAAAAAAAAAAAAGAAGAGAGAAATATTTGTCATTTTTTCAAGCCCTTTTTTTTTTTTTTTTTTTTTTAGCATAAACTCTATCAGGTAATATGGACTAATTGCACTCACTACCTTTGAGTGAGTGTACCAGTTTTTTTTTTTCTGTTTCACATAGGATAACTGAAATGCCATGAATAAATCCTCCTTTCGTTTTTTCTCGCCCTGACCATCCGACATTTTTATTATTTGACGTGTAATTGCTCCGTGGTGGTTGGGCGAATAGACAAATTAGGCAAATTCAGGCAATTTAGACATTTTTTTTCCCCTTCTTTTTTTCGAACCTTTACAATTTTTCCTACTTTTCCAGTTTTTACAATTTTTTTTTTCCTCATTTGCATTGGCTTGTTTTCCCTTTTTTTGTTCACACATTAGTACGAAAATTATGCCTTTCATTATGAGCATTTTAAGGTGTAAAAAAAAAAAAAAAAAAAAAAAAAAAAGGCACAAAAAATAAGCATTAAATTTATGCATCATTTTGGTGCATTCACTGATGCATTTTCTGATTTATTTATCTACCTTTCAGGATCTTTCTCCATAATATATAGGGTAAACAATAAATACGAGAAAAACTGCACTTTGACGAACTTTATCATTTCGATTCTTTAGCTATTGCTAACAGAAAATTAAAAATTTGTACTTGTACCATTTATCTGCATTTTGTCACACGGAGAATTTTTTTGCATTGTCCCTTTTTTTTTTTTTTATTTTTATTTCTTTTTTATCTTTTTTTATCGTTTTTTACCTTTTTTTTTTTTTTCTTTTTTTTTTTTTTTTTTCTTATTTTCTTTTTTTTTTTACACGCGCTTTGCTTGCCTCCTCTCGTCCTCGCAACCCTTAGAATCCCATCTTATTTCAATATAATTATGTATGTTCCATAATACATGAAATCGTTTAAATTACGTTATGTTATCATAACCTTTGACTAAAAGATGATAGGGGGATTTCCCGAAAAGGTCTCTTTTCAGAAATGAACTTGACATTTTTTAGGGATTCCCTCCGAACAATAAGTGCACACTCTCGATTGTGTATGTGCACGCGCACACACTTGTGAAGGAATTGTTGCATAGAGTAAAATTATGCAGGAGCTCGTCCTCCCACGCAAGCACAAGCATAAATAGAAGTACAAACATAAGTATAAATATAAATAGAAGTACAGACAAGAAGTACAGACACACGTACAGGCACACGCACAGGCACACGTACAGGCACACGTACAAACACAAGTGCAAACACAAGAACGTAGGCGCACGCAGGGATGCTCTTGCCCGTGCACATGATTTTAGAAAAATAAAATGCTCAGGAACTCATACCAACATGAAAAGGCAAGTTGCTTTAATATAAAAGTGATTGTTCGCTGTAGACCTCTAAATGAGAAGGAGAAAAATGACATAAATAACGAAGAAGTTGTAAAAATAAATAATAACGAAGTTATAGTAACTCTGAGCAGAAACAATGAGATATATGAGAAGAAATACAGCTTTGATTATGCTTGTGACAAAGATGTGGATCAGAGGACTCTCTTTAATAATTATGTCTTCCAAATAGTCGATGAGGTAAATATAAAACTGCACTTGAGTGTACATATATGAAGAGAGAGGAACAAGAGAGAGAGAGAGACTAACAGCCACGAAAGAACGATTGCATTTTGTGTAAAATTGGAATTGTTTTAAATCAAAATCTTTGTTTTATTTTTAATATATTTTTTGCTTATTTCTGCTAAATATTTTTATGAATTTACTGGTTCAAATGTGATGTGAGAAAAAAAAAGGAGGCTTACAAGCAGGAACAGAAGTTTGAGAGTGGGGGTAGAGGTGGATATCTTGCATTTTCACATGCAGGCCTTTCTTTTTTTTTTCTTTTTTTTTTTTTTTTCCTTATTTTGCTCTACTTTCTTTTTACTTTATTTTATTTTTTTTTTTTCTTTTCATTATTTTTATGTGAGTCTATCTTACTAATTATGTGTAAAGCAAGGGTACATTTTCCTTTTTCTTCCATAATGAGACAATAAACTTACATTTGTGTTTTTATTTTTTCCTCTCTTGCAAAAAGTTGAGGAAATAATCATAGGTGTGTATTAACACTTTTTTTTTCGAACATCCATTTTATACACAAAATTGAAAAATCGAAAATTTTCAATGCCAAAAAAAAAAAAAAAAAAAAAAAAAAGCACACACGCAACAGCACTCATTTTTGAATAACTTCGTACATCACAGGTTCTTGAAGGATTTAATTGCACTCTGTTTTGCTATGGTCAGACAGGCACTGGAAAAACATACACAATGGAAGGAAGAATTTTGGAACACTTAAAACATAATGAAAATAAGAAGCTTGATTTGAGTGACAGTATAAACAGTGATCTAAACTATTATTATGAGTTGTGCGACAATGATGACACAGGAATAATTTTCCGTGTTGCTAAAAGAATTTTCGATATTCTGAATAGTAGAAAGGAATATAAAACTACAAGATTGAGTGAAGTTAGTTGTGAAGAGAATTGTGCGGCGAAATGTGAGGCGAAATGTGAATCTAATTTTGAATCGAAATGTGAATCAAATTGTGAATCGAAATGTGAATCAAATTGTGAATCGAAATGTGAATCCACTTTTGAATCGAAATATGAATCCAATTTTGAATCGAAATGTGAAGGAGGCGCACAGGTTGTAAGGCGTAGGAATAGTTATTTCTCAAGCGATGAAAGTTTAAGTATACCACACATGGTTAGAAGCAAAGTTGAAATCACACTTAATGGGTTTGGAACATCGGCTCCATCTAATGTTATAGATTCTAACATAGATTCGTGTACGCAAAAGAATACTCCATTTGAAGGACAAACAGAAAAGAAAGATGTGAAAAGTGTAGCAAGTGACATGTACAATATGGAAAAGTGTTCATATGATTTTGTAATAAAAGTGAGTTATTTAGAAATATATAACGAAGAATTATGTGATTTGCTAAGCACAGCAAGTGAGTCGAATAAGCTAAGAATATATGAAGATACAATGAATAAAAATAAAGGATTAAATGTAGATAAATTAGAAGAGAAATGCATAAATTCATTTGAAGAAATATATTATTTGATCTGCTCAGCTATTAAAAAAAGAAGAACTGCTGAAACGTCTTATAATAAGAAATCCAGTAGAAGTCATTCCATATTTACGATCACTTTAATTATGAAAGATCTTAATAATGATGGGGAAAGCATAACAAAAATTGGAAAATTAAATTTAGTCGATTTAGCTGGAAGTGAAAATGCATTAAAGAGTTCTTATGGAAATTTAAAAATTAGACAACAAGAAAGTTGTAACATAAATCAATCGCTACTAACATTAGGTCGAGTTATTAATGCACTCATTGAAAATTCATCGTACATCCCGTATAGGGATTCTAAATTGACCAGACTGTTACAAGATTCTTTAGGTGGAAAGACAAAAACATTTATTGTTGCAACAATCTCACCATCGTCTTTGTGTATTGATGAAACATTAAGCACATTGGATTATGTTTTTAGAGCCAAGAATATAAAAAATAGACCTGAGATTAATGTTAAAACGACCAAACAGCTGAAAATAAAAGATTTAAATAATGAAATTGAAAAATTAAAAAATGCACTAAATTTAAGTAGAGAAAAAAGGGGAGTATATTTAGATAATGAAGAATATAATAATATACAAAATAGTTTAAAAAAGAATAAAGAAATTTTATTACAAAAAGAGAAAATTCTATTTGAAAAAAGTAAAAAAATTAAAGCATTAATAAACAAAATGGACTATACTGATGATATACAAAATCATATTGTGCAATTTTTGAAGGATATTCTTTTGAAATATAAAAATATTCAAATTGTTCACGATATATTAGTAAACAAATTAGTAGAAGAAAAATGTGTTACTCGATTTCTCCTATCAGAATTTAAACAAATGCAAGAAAAATATCAGAACTATGTTAATACATACACACAAACACAGAAGAAAATTATTTCCATATTTCGAGAAACAATCTCCACTATAAAAAGAAAAAAATGCCAAGATTATTCACATTTTAATCATATTTGTAATGATATCTTGAAAATATTAGTGAATACAAAGGACGAAGTGATGCAAGGAAAAGAGATACTTATCAAATCGATTGAAAACATGGAGCATAAGAGTACAGAAATGCTTTCTAGAAAAAATGATTTTCTGGATTTTTTCCAAAATCAGATTGGTGTTATGGAGAAACAAGATCAAACCCATTTTTGTCAAATGGAAAAAATGAAAAATGATTTATTAACATGTACAAAGAAATTAAATGCAGATGTGGAGTCCTTCAGTAATCATATTGACCAAAACAAAATTGCTGATTTTGTCGTGCAACAGCCATATGATACATCTGATGAATATTCATTAATCAGTATTAACAAAGAGAAAAAGAAAATTGCCAAACTGAACACATCTGTACAAAATAAGAAGGAAACAATTAATATGCTGAAAAAATTAGCACCAAATGATGAATCGTTCCAAGTGATAAATGAAATAGACTTTTATTTATCAGGAGAAAAAGAAGAAAATGTCAAATCGATAATTCAATATATGAAGAATATAAACAAGTTGTTGCATATATTTTTAACACATTCGCTTACTGAACTTAAAAAAAATGTGAATGAAAAAACAACAAGTTTGAGGAGTAAAAGGGAATATGTAAATCAATTGATTGAAAAATTGCAAAGTGATTATAAATCACAGGAAAATAATTTGAATAAGAGGAAATGTGAAATAGCTGAAAGATATAAGAAAATTATGACAGATGATATCTACCACTTTAAGGATCGAATAATGGAAGAGATACATGAGGTTATCCAAAGAAATGTGGTTCAAATTAATGAAACTATGGAACGAAAATTGGAATTGCTAACTAATGAATTGAATGAAGAATCGGGAACTAAATATAGAGAAATTTTTACACATTCCTTGAACACACTTGAACAATTTATTCAAAGTTGCAACAAACAGGATGGAGAGTATCATGATAAATATTTTCAATACACTAACCTGATGCATGAGAAAGTAGACACTTATTATGAACACTTATTAGAACACGCGTTCACAGATATTAATTACCAATTTGCGAATGAACAAAGCAAAATAAATGAAAAAATCCAAAACATTAAACAGGTATATTTAAATTTAATCCAAAATAATAATAAATGTGTTGATAAAATTTCAATTCTGTTTGATACTACTATAGGGAAAAATAAGAAAGACAAAGAGGCACTTTGTAATTCTATGTCCAAAATGGTTTTACAAGAAAAAAACCAAATCGCCCATGGGGAGAAAAAAAAAAATGAACTGACATTAAAATACACGCAAGATATCTCTTTATATAATCAACAACACGTGGAGAATCTAAAGAAATGCAACACTCATATGGATGCACTTTTGCAGCATTTTAACAAAAATGAAGCTGCCCTAAAGGATGATGATGATGATAATCAAACCTTACCCACTTGCGATGTCCCAGAGAATCACATGAATGAGGAGGATATTCATGTGGAAATCGAAAAAATCCGATCTTTTGCTAATATGAATTCTGCCATTTTAAGTGACCCATATTTGGAGAGGCCAACCTTGGAGAGGCCAACCTTGGAGAGGCCAAATTTGAACGAAGGAAATTCCAATTTTGCCATATCCCCAAGGAACGGTTCTGTCAAGCCAGACCTATCGAATAATCACTATAGATACAGTGATATCCACTATGAAGAAGTTAAAGGTGATGTTATGAAAGAAATAGAAACCTTTTCATTTCAGAAAAACATAGACTTTAAATGTCTCTTTGACAAAGTGGATGAAAATTTAAACCTAATCCTAAATGAAAACTATTTTTTGAAATACCAAAAGGGAGGAGGAGGGGTCGTCAGTGGCAGTTGTGAACTTTCTAGGAGAAACAGTGGTGGAAGTATGACACATGCGAGTGGAAATCCAATCCAACATATGAACGAAGTGGTGTCATTAACAGGAGAGTCCAGTTGCACTCACATGTCATCCGTAGGGAACAATATAGCGAAAGTCACACATATCCAAAGTCAGAAGAAAGCAAGAGAAACAAGCTCACAAATAGATGCAGATGTCGAGGGAACCAATTTGAAAAGTTTAGCTGAATGTAATCGGAAGAATAACAAAAGCATTGAAAGTTTACATGGGCGAAAAATTGGATTAACATCGAATGAGTTAAAATATTCAAGCACAAAAATTAAGGTATTAGGGAATAGTGCAAGTTCCAGAAAGAATTCTCCAGCTCCAAAGAGATTAAAGGACGATGGTTACAAAGGTAGGAACTTCAAGTTCATTCGAAAATCAGAAGATTAAATGAGAAGACTAGCATACAAAGTGTTTCCCATGTTGATGAGGAAAGTTAACAATATGGACAATTTTTAAACCAAATTCTGTTGCTATTGAATATACATCAAATTTCCGTCTAATTGGCATACCTGTCAACGTTACTGCACGCAGCCGTTATTCCTTTTTTTCTGTGTTTTGTATGTCCCCTATTATTTTCATTATTACTTTTACTATTACTTTTGCTATTACTTTTGCTATTACTTTTGCTATTACTTTTGTTATTACTTTTGCTATTACTTTTGCTATTACTTTTGCTATTACTTTTGCTATTACTTTTGCTATTACTTTTGCTATTACTTTTGCTATTACTTTTGCTATTACTTTTGCTATTACTTTTGCTATTACTTTTGCTATTACTATTACTTTTACTATTACTTTTACTATAACCATTATTATTATTTTATTTTTTTTTTTTTTTCCCTACTTCTTTGTCTTCTTCGTCCTCGATTTGCATGCACTTCGTTGGTATATGCATGGAGGTCCGCTCTCTGGTGTACTCTCAAACGTTTTCTTTTCATATTCATTTTGAATTCCAATGATAGAATAATCAGGACCTCGCTTTGAGAATGAGAATGGGAATACAAAGAAGAAGAAGAAGAAGAAGAAGAAGAAGAAGAAGAAGAAGAAGAAGAAGGAGAAGAAGGAGAAGAAGAGCTGGATATCATGTTTCCACATATTCCACTCTCCATCAAGTGGGGAAATTTGTTTTTTGTGTGTAAATATTCCACATGGGTTCCATGTGGATTTCTATGCCTTCTTGATTTTACATGAATCTCAAAAATTATGCGTATGCACACATTGGCTTCAAAATTTTTCAAACATCAAACATTCTGATTTTTGCTGCA